AGATCAGATTTTTTCTAGTCTTTTGCTCTCTGTGTCGCTATTTGTCTCACACTCATATCTGTTCATCTCATCCGCCACAGGTTTGCTTGTCTTAGCTCTCATCGTTAGTCCACGTTGGTCGTGTCCTAACACCTTAGTTTGGAAACCTCAGATTCTAGGTTCTTTAAAAACCTTGGTCTGTGAAAGGTTAGAAACCTGCATTTATCAAACTTTGCTATGGGGGGATAGGTAGCTCAACCCTCTCACTTTGGAGGGCCCAATCTTGCGCAGAGGGGAGAGAAGGGGGAAGATAGAAAAGTATGGAGGAGCAAGAATCAAGACAAAAGAGAAAAAACAATATAAAAGAGGGGGCAAGATGTTGAGGTGTCCCCCAAGCCCAGGGTCAGGATGAGAATGAATGTCTCATGCGACATCGCTAGTAGCGGTACCTGTGGAAAGAAGAGATGGTTTGAGGTTTAATGTTAAACTTGTCGAGACACGAGTCCTGGGCCAAGCAATAGGCTCTTCCTCTAAGCCTATGTCAAACCTAGACCAAGAAAAGTTTGAGAATGGAAATGTCGTTGCACCATCAGTTGGACTTTATGAGACAGAAAAGGGCACACCTGTAGGCAAAAGCGCAAATGCAAAAGGCAAAGGGAAGGCCCTCGAATCAAAATCAGTCTCTAAGAAGAGGTGTGGAGCATCAACTCCGGACGCTGTACTCTGACATTAACGTCCAAAAGCTCTCTTCACCTAATCTGGCCCATTGAGGCCTATTATCCAAATTTGAACCTAGTGTTTGCACCAAATTTGTCTCTACTTGATCTCGCTATTCGAGGCCTATTGCCCAAAGTCAAACTTGTTTAATTCCGGAATAGTAAACGTTCGTTTCTGCTGAATGTACCTTAGTAAAACTTCCTTAACGACATGGGGTTTTGATCTATGTATTTCTATCTATATTATATCTCTCCAACTTAAATCCGGGCAACACCATTTGAATCTCTGTTCATGTCTTCAATCAAGATGAACACGGCTTCCTTGTTGCAGTTAGTCGGACTTCTCCATTTCCTATCCTGTCCCTAAATATACTCACTTTGCTTTGACTGAGCCCCTCAACTTTTGTTCCATGTTGAAAGCGCCAACAGTCTCAAGATTGGAATCAAAATATTGCTTAAACCTCTTCACTGCATACTGACTTGTCCCCCGGATTATCCTCTCAACCGGAATATCAAACCCAATTGCTTCACAAACATTGAATAACCATACAGATTTACGCACCCGTTGATCAAGGCCATTCGAGTGGTACAGCCAATCCAGAAAAGGATGGCATCTTCTCCTCAACTGCACCAGCTCGCTTGTGCAGATCCATCCTATTCGTGATCTGGGTAAGGTTAAGTGCCCTGCTGGATTGAAGGAGAATAAGAGCTTCTAGCCCAAACCAAAACCTTACTGGCTCATGAACCGGTAGTATCTGCACACAAGCGAGCTGGTGCATTTGAGGAGGGGATGCCATCCTTTTCTGGATTGGCTGTATCACTAAATCCTACAAATGGAGAGAGCATGTTAGTCCCATCTTTGTTCTTACCTCATATTCGATCACTCCTGCTGAACTCATCCTTGTGACCATCCCCACGTCTAGCAACTCAAACAACTAGGTCATTTATTGCAAGAGAATGAATATCTTTTGGAGGAAGCTCTCACCATTGATGTACGTCTATGCTCAAACCCTTTTGAATCTACATGTCAAGAGCTGAGGGGATTCAGGCGCTTATTGATTGTTTTTCACTATTCTTCATTCCAACATGGCTAGCTCGGCATACAAAACCTTGAAAGTCATGGGGGCAAGTTGGTGGGGACGAGAAACGAGGTACTCTCTGCGTTGAAAATTCTCAAGAAATGGATCAAGCCTCAAAGTGTGAAGACCAAGCTCACTTGGCTGATTGCCAAACCTTGGGTCTATCATGAACCAAAAGGGATTGTGGCAATTTTTGGAGCTTGGAAGTATGTACCCATTTCCTTGGGTTGTTAGCTATCCTGTAGTGCTACTGTTTGGTCCACTTGTCGGTGCAATTGCTGGCGGAAACTCCATCATTCTCAAACCCTCTGAAAACTGGCATGTCAACCGTAGTCGGAAAATACTTGGATCCTCGGAACATCTGCGTTGTCAATGGTGGCCAAGAGCAAAGTACTGCAAAGTAAAAAATGTTGTGAATAAGCAATTATTCACGAGAATGGACTTAAATTAATAGAGCTGTAGTATATGACTGAAGGGATTTGGTATAATTTGTATAAATTATTAAACTTACTCAAATCACATTTCCTGTCCGTAAATGCTGTACTCCCATCGCTGTACTGCTATCAAGTTTTGTCTAAATTCGACAACAACTACTTAAAACAGTAAAAAAATAAAATGGATGGTGATCAGGAGGAAAAGGAAGCGCAAGAAGCCATATAAGATGCTGAAAAAGGAATAAATATTTTGGACCGATAGAGAACAAACCTAGTTGATTCAAAGTGCCTCTACATAGGAGGTAGATGGAATTGATGTCTGGGATTCTGTTGAGAAGTTAATTTGAGACTTTTGCTTAGAGTGGTTATTACATTCTTCTTCTAGATGGCTCCCTCTCTGACTGGTTGCACACTTTTGGAAACAAAAAGGTGTCCTTTCCAGAACTTTTCAGTGTCATGACTCACTGGGTTCATACCATACTAATTTTGGAAACATGTTGCCTTCAAATTTTTCAGAAGGCAAAAGCACTGATTCGTAAGTTAATTGTAAACACAGTCAATACCAGGCCCTCTAAATCAAGGGAATCTGATGAATTTGGCTGTCTTGTAGAAAACCAAACCTAGACAATTGAACTGGGATATTCTCAACCTAACCAATTATTTTGGTAGTGATAGGTCTTGAGAAACAGTGGTATGATACATATTACATGAAATTTATCTACACAACTTGAGAGTTGGAATTAAAGCCAAAACTTCAATCTAGTGTGATCACAGATAAGCCAGGGAGTGGGCAAAAAATTTGTATGTTTTTGATGAATATATTCCTACAAGACTTTTGGCAGGGACAGGTTTTCAAGATAAACTTTCTTCTGTTTTAGATTGTATTTATGAACAATCCATGTAGTGGCTTGCTTTGTTCATAACTAAGATAGAAGTGTTTTTTTTCCATGGTATCAATCCAATCTTTTAAAGTGTTGGTACACTTTCTTTCACAAAATATCTATAATTCTCTGGCTTGTTCATCCTACTCTTGATCTTTTTAAATGATATCAATTCATTCGGAAATAGAGTGAACCACTTTGGACTGTTCATTCATTTGTGGTGTTGGGACAAAAACAGAAATGCTGCCTTGAAGATACTCAATTCTTTCTTGGTTGGTAGATATAGCTGAGGATTTTCACCAGGGAATCCCCCCTTTATCAAAGTAAAAATCAATTCTATCATATATACTGCGTATTTCTTTGAATTCCATGTTTGAGCATTCCTTTATTACAATCATGAAGATTGGACAACTTCCCATCAAGATCAGAGGGTCTCCCAGAAGCTTAAAATTCAGATTTCCCGGCAAGAAAATAGAATTTTTGTGTCGAACTCAACACCTACAAGGGTTTCAGATTTGACAGTAAAGTTATTGATTTATGATGTGAAGCAATTCATTTTGCATTTCCTATGGCTCTTTCAGATACAGCTATAACAAGGAAGCCTGCGGGCTCCAAAGTCAGAAAAAAAAAAAAAAAAGATGGACAACAGTTGGAAGCTTTGGAAGAATACAGGTCCATGTGTGTATGGATTAAGTCATATTGAATCAGGTATCTTTTCTCCACTCATTTGCAGGTGAGGAGATTAACACCATCAGAATCTTGATGGAAATTTCAGTCCATCTGCCCCTATTACCATGACTGAGCTATGGCAGAGCTTCCACCCATGGGGCCAGTCAGGTCCCAATTCTAACAGATGTGTGCCTCAAACGTTGCCTCAAACAACAAAGTAGAGATTGTTTGTTTGTACTCAGGTACCTGTCAGTACCTAGGTACCTGTTGAATTTTTTTCAGAAAATAGGTACCAAGCACCGCACCAGGCACCTCCCGGCAGGTACCAGTGGTACTTTTGGCAGGTACTGCGGGTACCTCCCCTCTCTTCCTCACTTAGTTTGACTGAAAGGTTCATTACAATCTTTTTGCATCTTGTTTGAGTTTTTTTGGGGGATTTTTTGTGACTATCATTTTATTTAATTAAAAACATAGAAAAAATAGGGCATTAATAAAAAAACGCGGGTTTTCCGCGTTTTGACGCGGTTTTGGC